GTACTTTCGAGGGCCTGAAGGCAGTGTTATGTGTATGAATTTTGGCTCTACCCAACCGAGACTCATATGTGAAGTCCTAATCTCTAATACCTCAGAGTATAATCATATCTGAAGTGGGAGATTTTAAAAGAGGTAGTTAACTTAAAATGGAGTCATTGGAGTGGACCCTCGCCTAGTTTGACTGTTGTCATTTTAGAAGAGATTAAGACTTACATAGGAAAAACAGAGAGATACTACAAGAAGATGGCTGTGAGCCAAGTAAAGAGACCTCAGAAGAAAGCAGCCATGCTGACACCCTGAGCCTGTGCAGCCTCCAGACTGAGAAATAAATCCTGCTTTCTCTGCTACTTAGTCTATGGTATTAATAACCCCCACAAACTAATGCACCCAGCAGACTTCACTGAAAGAAGAAATGAAATACACAGCATTATAGAAGCTATTTTGGTTTTGTGGCCTTGAATCAAGTTTGTGGAGATAGAGACTTTAATATACTTTGTATTGTGAGTATAGAATCATAGACATAGCATTAGAAATTTTGCTTTCAATTTTTGGCTGTGCTAGATAGAGATTAAATCCACTGTCTTCTGCATACTAGTCAGGCATTATACCACTGAGCCTACTCCCTTTCTAAACCTGAAATTCTTTTCAATGCATATTTCATGAGAGTTTTCCCCCAAAAAACTCACCATCACTCAAATAGTTAAGAGTAGAAATAACTTCAAGGTTCCCCATCAAGGGGGAGAGAGGAGGATTTTTGAGGCATCCTTGGAGCCTCACCCAAGGTAAAGATAAACATACCTTCTCCAACATAGCTTCAGAAAGACAACCAAGGCCCCCAGACTCCTTCTGAGCAATTAGCTCTGCATCCATGGGTCTGCCCCAGTCTGCCGGCCTCACAGACCATGTGAACATTGTGCAGGTGCAACACAACTCTTGAATTCACATCCCCCACCCTGCTCTGGGAAAGGACCTCACATTTAGATGCCCACCTGGGCTACACTCTCATGAACCACACATGAGAAGAGTGATTGGGTCCTTCGACAAGTCCCTTGTGTCCCAGAGTGAGGAAGATGCATGCCATCTTACTTTGCCTTCCAAATGTGAAGAATCCATAGTTTGGGCCTAAGAACAGATGAAAAACCTTTGAGAAGGACAAGTCTCATGTCTGCTGAAGTATGCTACATCTTTCAGAGCATGAACTGCCATATTTTTTCTAATAATCTCTCCACCCAGAAAGAATACTGCTAGCCTTTTGATACATAGCTTTCCCAGTGCTTATATGCTTTTGCTTCCTTTTTTGTTTTTGCAAAACTAAGCTAATATTATATATGCTAGTAGTAAAATTTTTGCCACTTAGTAATGTGTTAGTTGCATGTCATGCGCTGATCCTTATTTCCTGCCAGTGGTAAACAGCCTGAGCCTTTACTTAAAGCTTTTTCAAAGGAAACATTTCAGGTGGAAAGCTTTTTAAAATGTGCTTTGTGGTAGTGTTTGCTCTCCAGGCATTTCCTGAGCCCATTCTGCATCCTTTTCCTTAGCTTGCGCAGTAGCATCCAAAAGTCACCTTCCAGTTTTTCTGACTCCAGGTTAATTTGCAGCTCTTCCACAGGGAAGAGCTTTTTTTGGAGACCCTCAGACTTTGAATGTGGGGTTCAGCCTGAGAAGGCAGCTGACCTTTTGGGAATACAGCTGCAGGCTCCACTTGAAGAATGGCCAGGCCGCAGTCTCTGGTCGGCAGCAGTCAGATCTACTCAGGCCAGTCTCTCCTCACCCTCATAGCAATAAAGTGGCCACACATCACAGGTCAGCAGATCAACAGCTGGCCGTTGCTGTGCATGGGAGAAAAATGCAGGAGTTTGATTGTGCTGAGTTCTGTGCACAAAAACAGCTGTTAAAAAATTACTCTTGGATATTTGTTGGTCTGCAATAATCCATTGAGGGTTATTTTCATGTGTAGACAAAGCAATTCCAAATGAGAAGGCAAAAGGCTTGTCTCAGTGTTACATGGGCATTGAGGATACAGCAAAGTCCCCAGTCCCTCACTAGATGCCTGGTATCTGGTTTCGTTGGGGTGTGTTTTAAAATACACATAGCATAAAATTTACCATCTTCACCATTTTTAAGTGTGCATTTCAGTGGCATTAAACAGACCCACAGTGCTGCTCAAACATCACTACTGTCTGTCCCCAAAACTTTTCATTTGCTCAAACTGAGACTATGCCTGTTAAATATAACTCCCTGTCCTCCCTGTTCAGCTTTTGAGATCCACCATTCTACTTTCTAAGATTTTGACTGCTCTAGGTCCCTTACGTAAGTAGAGTTATATTTATTTTTTCATGAATGCCTTATTTAAAAAATAAGGCATACTGTCCCGAGGATTTATCTGTGTTGTAGCATGTATCATTTCCTTTGCAAGACTAATACTCTATTTTATAAACATATCCCATTTTATTTTCTTTTACCTGTAAATGGACAATAAATGTTGCTTCCACAGTGAACTTGTATGAACAGGACTACGTAAACATGGCTGTACGAATACTGCATTAAGAGCCCATTTTAGTTTTTTGTACTGTCCCGGAGCAGAGTGGGATTGCTGGAATGGCACTTACCTGTGGTAGTGAGCCCAGTTTTTTCTGGAAAGACAGCCTAGACCTTAGATGATGAAAAAACTCTACTCCATGTTAAGAGTCCTATTTTCAAGTTTCTGTATTACACCAGCTCAGTTGGGTTTCTGTGAGGTGTCAAGCTAATGTAACAATTACTTTTGAAATATATTTTATGCTTGTTGCCTGCAATATGTTTCTTATAAATGTTTACATCAGAACTGTTACCTCATAATTATCCAAACAAGGGCAGTAAATCCATTAAGTCTGTTCTTTACGCATCAGTGTTAATTCTCTGTTAATTTATCACACAGCAAGCCAGCATATGTTCCTCTTAAGGTGTACCACAGTTTAGAAATCAAAGGTATTGAAACCTATTTCTTAGTATTCTGCATTAATTTGAAAACATAACATCTCTCAAATGCCCTTTTCCAGAGGTTAACAAGGAATATTGAAGCACACACCTCAGGAAAATTGGTTCTTTTTTCCAAAAGCTCTGGGAAAATGCTACCTTGTCCAAAATCAGTTTGCTCCTGACCTGACTCATCTTGTGTACTTTCAGCCTGAGTATTTGGTGTCCATGTGCCATTTTGGATAGGACCATCAAACTAGTTCTCTTTAAAATACTGAAAGATTTGCTCAGCATTGGAAGGGTTAGGTCTTCAGTGACACCTTGTAACCACCAGATGGTGATCTTCCCACAGGAAGCTCCTGCTTCCACAGGGTTATCCATCCCTTCTAGCCCAGTTACTGTCTTTCATCACTTCTGGCTTTAGCATTCTTACTATAATACTACCTGGGTTCCAGTGTTTCACAGGATGATCTCTTATTAAGATCTTGTTTAAACGAAGCATAAGTAAAAGTTACTTAAATTAAAATAATCCAAAATAAATTTCTTAAAAATATAAAACTTAGCAACAACTTACCTTGTTAACTCCTTTCACTAAACTGCGTAAAAATAAGCAAGACATATGGTTCATCTGGATAAGATACTTGAACCTGACTTCATTCAGATCTTTGCTAGCAGCTTGCTAACGTTTCAGAATTGTTTGCCCAGTAGCATTGCCTCCCTGAAGCCTAGACCCTCACTGAGACCCAGCCTCCCTGTGCTGCCTCCTCTGTGCACCTGTCCCTGAAGCATAGCCTCTGTGGTCTCTGATAGTTCACTTTTGAGATCTGAAGAGGGAGGGTGTATGTTCATTGCAGTCAGAGGAACATGATTAGTGTGCAGAGACCCTCAGGAGGCCAGGCACCAGGCTCTTGGGGCAGGCGCACTGATGTCAGCTGTCCTTCTGAACACAAGAACCGTGTGTCCTGACCTGCGTAGAGTGTACCCAGAAATACTCCTCACCTTCACTGCTCTCTTCATGGCAGAGCCACATGCTTCCCTAAACTTAGGCCATCTCTCATCTATGTGAAATCAGAGGCCACCATTCCTGTCTGTGGGAAAGCCTGAAGCCAACAGTTACAGTGTACTGTGCTGAAGGACAGGAGCAGGTGACTGGTATGTATAGGGTCAGGCATCACTCGTTGCTTCCTGGGGGAGGTGGCACTGAGACTGAGTGTGTGGCCCAGGGCCAGCACTCAAGAAATAGACCTGTCACTGTCACCCTTCCACAGTTACTCTTGAGAAATAACTATCATCAAATTTGACTGTTAATTGATAGAAATTCTTGAAGTAGAACTTCAAACATTTCTTCACGTACCTGTCATTTATTTTTACCAAAATGTAAGTGGGTTGGCATTATGAATCTTAAATGCACCTCAGGGCTCCTGAGTTGACTAGTTATAAGTATATGGGTCCAGTCAGCCTCAGGCTGTTTGAGACCAACAGAGCCAGGGCCTAAAGGCTGTGCCTTCCAGATGATCAAGGTGCCTGTGTAAGTCGGCTACGGCTTTCCTCCTTCAGAGTCAGTGTGCTTGCAACTTTCCCTTTAGTAACACCCAGACCATTCTTTTCTGCTCATCCTGGGAGAAGCAGGCTGAGTTTTCTCCTTAGGGCATGTCTCAAGCCCTCTGCCCTCCTACAGCTCTTGATGGTTTTATCAGCCCCACCATGCAAGGCCCAGGCTGTGGCCATGGGAGTAGACTTTAATGCTGAGATGTATAGCCAGAGCCTGCTGTGTGTGTGTTATGGCTCAGTGAAATGAGTCACCCTGAAGTACTTCCTGGTAATCATCCCAGTTAATCTGGCTTCGTCCTCCGGGGCACCAGATCATGTGGATTCGTCTTTTAATACCAGTTTGGTGGTTACACTACATATCTGGTGTTCAACCTGGCAATTAATTAGATCACTTTGGAGGATGCAGTTTTCAGGAGTCTTGTCTCCAGCAACTTGCCAGCCACACAACCTGGTGGGGCAGCTGAATGTGTGCTACTTTTGCTTTTGTTTTGCAGGAATGAGCTAGAGCGACAGTTTCTTGAATTGCTCCAGTTCAACATCAATGTCCCTTCCAGTGTGTATGCCAAGTATTATTTTGATCTTCGTTCTCTGGCAGAAGCAAACAACCTGAGCTTTCCCTTAGAGCCCCTGAGCAGAGAAAGGGCCCACAAACTTGAGGTAAGAATGTGTAAAACGTTGTTTTCTAGTGTACTGCTGCAGTGCATCATCTGATTTCCACAGTGTATGCGACTGTAAAATAAGAACAAGGGCCCAGATTTGTTGCTAACCACTTCATTTAGGGAGTTATAATTTGTACAGTTTTATATTTTTTTCTTTTTTAAACATTTTACATTTTTAATAACCTTTTAATATCAGTTTTCACTTAATATTCATTAACTTCTTAAATATTTTTTAAAACCCCTGTCTTTATAGAATTTTACAATATTTTAAAAGAAAAATATTTCTCAGCAGGTACTTTTTAGGAAAAAAATACCAGACAAACTTAAGAATTGGGACTCCAAAAGGTTTGACTGCCTTGATGTTTTTCCAAAGTAGTTTTGTGTGAGTCGATCTCACTGGTTTTGGTACTGGGCTAAACATCAGTAATCTTATGAATTTAGGGTCTTATCAGGGCATATACGTGTATAGCTCACTGCCATATATTTATCAGGCTTTGTCCATCTTTCAGACAAGAAAAGGCAGGTGGTAAGAAGGATCTTGGCAAAGCCCTCTTCTCCAGAGAAGGTGTGCTAAATTGCCCTCTGGCATTTAATCCCAGGGGTGAGACATTTTGATTTCATCCCATAGAGCCTTTGACCAGAGTGGCAGATGACAATCCTGTCCCAAGTTTGGTGAAGCTCACAAGATCTTACACTGCCACTCCAGCATCTAGCTCAAGTGAGATGCCTTTCCTACTTAGGACAGGATCCACTGGGCAGTGGGCAGTGTAGTGGTGACAGGCTAATAGCTGAGACTTGTTATGGACTACAGGCTGATAAAGCAAACGTTGTAGGCTGGAGATACGGCACAGTGTAGAGACTTTGCCCAGCTTGCCTGAGGCTGTGGGTTCAATCCTCAGCACTGTTAGATGCACACACCCATAGCACACTTTAAAAAATAAATAGCAGTCCCAAAAAGGAAATAGTAGAACTGAGACTGGTTGCCTAACATTGGGGTAAAATCCAGAGAGGTTTTTAGAACTGCACCATTTTGCTGTGATTGTCTGTTAGCTAGGTCAAAAATGCTGTTTCTGACTTCTTTATTCAAGAGGAAGAATGGAAAAACCCTCCCTTTGAAGGACTCGTTCCAGGGCATGTACTCAAACTCAAGCAAGAATCCACATGAACTAGAATCCAGGCTTCCCAGTGAAAGAAACCCTTGCCGCAGCCCATGCCCTGCTGCTGGTGGGAGGACCAGGCCCCTGCTGACTCTGGGTCTAAGGAATTGTGCTTGTGCCATCTGCTGGTGAATGTCTGGAGCTCTGGGTCCACCAAGCTGAGAGCACAGGCTGGCTGAGATGGAGGGGTTGGTACTGCTATGCTCAGTGCTGAGGAGTCATCAGAACAGAAGAATCAGGCCAGGCATAGTGGCACATCCCTAATTTCAGCATTTGGGACAAGGCTGAGGCAAAAGAGTCCCTGTGAGTCTAAGGCCAACCTGCACTGCATAGCAAGACCCTATCTTAAAAGAAAAATCAGAACTTCTGTGGGGCTGAATGGAAGCAGTCTCAGGAAAAGCCCATGATGCCCCTTTGAAGTAGTCTGTGAGGAGTGAAAATGTCTTACTGTCCAGACCCCAGAGTCCCTATTGGTCCATTTAGATAGTGAACCAAATGGACTAGAGTAACAAAACACAAGGATTGAGATGTGGCAGAGGCTGCCCTTATCTAAAGTTCTCTACCTCTCAGGTTCACTGCTACAAGACATTTTGATCTGTTGGTTGTACTGTAGAATATACAGCAAAAGGCAAGGCAAATGCAGGTTAGTTTCTTCACTAGCAGGGTATTTGTCTTTGAAATAAATTAATATCTGTCTTTGTAAATGTGAGAGATATGATTAAAGCTAATGCCACTTCTCATAATAAAATCTAAAGTAAGGTAGAACATTTAACCCATTTTTATGGGATTACATTTAGTCTTAAACTGTAAGCTGAGAAATAACAGATGTTAATCTCAGAACATTTAAGGGAATAAAAAGAATTTGCCCTGAAATGGCAACTCTTAAGTCCCTAAGGAATTAGATTGTCTCTTCATTTCAACCAAACATCTTTGTTTCCGGTTTCTCTCCTCCAGTCTCCTTCCCATGCTGTCCCTCAAATTGCTTTTCTCAAATGCGGTTTAGAGTGTTGAAGTGCTCTCTTCAACCGTGGGCAGTTCTGTACTCCCCAACTCACCCCACCACTCTATGCCCCTGCTGAGTGTGCCTGCACCCTTCTCCTCTAGGCAAAACTCTTATCTGGTTCTGACACCATCCTTGGATATGAGGTCCCTCAAATAGAGTGGGGGCTCATTTCCTTCTGCGCCCAGGTTCTTGGACATGGCCTGTGATGTCTTAGTTGGAACTTACAAAGCCCCTCAACACACTGACTCCAGGGGCCTTGGGAATGGATAGTCTGCTGGAAGGAGATGGACTGTCTAAATTGGCCAGTGCATTGGAAGGTAAGTAGAAGTAAAAGTAGACTGCAGTGTGGTCTTGGTCTCACTGCACTCAGCAGCCTCTGGTGGTGAGCGGCCTTGACACAACGACTACCGTGGGAGCACAGCCCCTCCTGGTGAAGGCGGACTGCTGCTCCAGCCCAGTGGGTTCCTGCCTTGACCTTCACTGTCCCTCTTGTTCCCAGGCCATCTCTCGCCTCTGTGAGGACAAGTACAAGGACCTGAGAAGATCCTCACGGAAGCGGTCAGCAAGTGCTGACAATCTGACTCTGCCGAGGTGGTCACCAGCCATCATCTCCTAACCGCGCAGTGTCCCCCGGAGCCTGTACCACACCTCAGTTTCTCCTGTGGTTTGAGAAAAGACGTGTTGGAGTGGTTTTGTTTTTGTTCTTCCTTTCTTTTTCTAACTCATAGCTCCGGCAGGCAGCCTCCACACCACCTCGTGCTGCTGGTCACACAGCAAGGCTCCAAGGGAAGCAAAGTCAGTATTCTGGAAACCCGTTTCACACTTCCCCCTCTCCATTAACAGCACTTCCTTGTGGAGGAAACAGACTCATACTGGAGGAGGAACAGTGGGAAAAGAAGTTGTGTGGAGGAGGGAAAATGGTTGAGTGGCTTGGCCATTTCTTAACCCGTCTGGTCAGGAGATGAATGCATCAGAAGCACACAGTAGGTAGCCAAGTTGGATGTGCATTAAAGACAGGAGTGCCACGCTTACCACCCCATTTGGATCAGTGTGTTCTGTAAGACTTCTTGCATTCCTTCTTGCTGCTTTTTGGGGGGTGGGATGGGGGGCGAGATTTGAGGGATTTTATTTTTATTCTGTTTTGGTCCCACAGAGCAGAGAATATAGTTTGTACCCACTATGGCACAGACATCCAAATAAATAGTACTGTTTGTTTCTCTCTGCACTATTTTTGTGAGCTGTCTTCTGAGCTTTCTTCCTCATAAGTGGGATGTGCTTCTTACATTTCTGTACATCTTTATTGTACTGTATATGGTTTGTCTTCAACAGTGGCAAGATTCACTTGACTGTAGTGCTGAACCAAAAGTATCCCTTTCTCTTCTTACTCTTCATGCCAAGAAAATTCTAGATCACATGGGTGCTTGTGCCTTCCAATTTTCTTACGGTTGCTGTTTTGTTGTTAATTATTTCCATACCCTCCCACTCCCCAACCCCCACCAGTCATAGTTACCAGTCAGTCAGACCTTGTTGGCTAGAGGAAGCAGTGTGCAGCAAAAAAGGGCCTCCCTGGACTGGGTCCAGTCCTGGAAGCTCCATGTGCCAGTCACCATGTAGAAACACTTCTCTGTCTCCTGTTAGTTCCTTCTACTACCATGTCCATTGTTGCAAGCAATATTCTCAATTTTTATATGTTTACTTTAAATCAAAGTTAGTCTATTTGTATAAAATTTTTTAAAAATTCAAAACTTAAAAAAAGGGTGGGTGGGTTGTCCAGTGGGAAGATCACTGACAGGGAAATGTTATTATTTACTGAGGTATTTTTCACAGAATGATTGAATAAAAACTCAACTTACATTTTCATTGTGGGTGCTTAGAGGAGATACAAAATCCAAACTGAAGGTTTATGCTTCATTAATTATGACCATGCTTTTCTCCCTGATTTTCTTATGAACTAGATATGAGTATTTTATATCCAATAAAAATTATTAAAGGTACAATATCAAATAGCAAATTTGGTATCAACTCTAAGAATCTGCGTTACTTACACAGATAAGGTTTTGGGTTTTTATTTTCTTAGGTCACAGTGACTGAGATTCCTGAATATTTTTCAAGTCTGAGCAAATAACAGCAAATGGTGTCTGTTTCAGTCTTTCCTTGTGAGCTTGGAAAACCTTAGATTTCTGTGTTAATTAGTTTTGAGTACCCTAAAGGCATGCATATACCTGACTCCCACCTTGCCTACTCACAGTAAAATATGCTTTGGAAATGGAAGGGACTTAGAAAGTCAAAATTCCAAGAGCACCAAGTCAAAAAGTTGGTTGGAATGTGTGTTATGTATAATCATAATTATTTGGGCCAGAAATATGGCCAAATTCTTTCTTGCCTACACTTTTAAGTGTAGACAACAGAAAATGAAAATTTAATTACCTTCCTATTGTAATTGTGATTTACTTTGAATGGGAACCAAATCAGCTTTTCTCTAAGAGTTGAATTTAGAACTTTAAATAGAGATCTAAAAATATAGAAAATATCATTTTATATTCCCTAATCTATATAGCTTAAAAAGGGACATATTTTCTTAGCTGAATATGAGTACCTCGTAGACATAAATTCATTCCTCTCATGTAAAATAGTTTATTTAATCAATCCACTTCAGGAGAGAGATTCTGCTAACTTTAGAGCAGAAATCTTATTTTTATCCCTTTTATTTGAATGAAAGATTTGAAAATTGACTTATGTAAATATTTCAATGCATCTGCTATTATTTTGTGGAGTTTATTAAACTACTTTTGAAAATTGTATAGTCTATTTATTGTATGTATGTACATACAGTCTAATACCTGAAATTTAGAGTGGATTCCATATAACCTGGTTCAGTCTTGTTTAGACTATTGAATATTGTTTTAGCCTTGTGCACTGGACTCTACCTCTGTATAGGAAAATTTTCCATATTCATTAATTAGTATTGATCTGTATTAATTGGTTATGTTTCTTGCACTAAGGATTTTTAAAACTACTGTAAGTGTAGGTTTTAGTTTTACCTCCATAGTATGAGTCACTTGACACATAGGTAAATCTCTTAGGTTTGTTTTATTTTTCTACATAATGATGGAGATTTAACAATTTTTGTTCTCTGCTTTTTTCCTGTTTGCCAAAAGAAAAAACAAACAATATAAAACCAGTACAGTATCTATTTATAAGTTGTAGTAAGTACAGTTTGTTTGCAAAGTGATTATATGCCCTACAGGATAAATTGGCTGGCTGCTTAGTGTAGTTTTTGAATGGAGAGTTTTTCATCATTAATGAAGAATGAAGAAAACTTCACAATGTGTTGGATTTAATTTTAGATTTGATTTCAATAACAAATAAAATCATTGGGACTGTAACAGACATCCCAGAAAATTTCGTTTGCTTTTTTTTAACTGGGAAAGGGAAGTCAGAAGGTTAAAAACAAACCGAGGAACCGGGGGATGAAGGGGATGTGGTAAAGGCTGGAGGTGCAGAGAGGGGATCCAAGGCTTGACGCTGTCTGGAGTCATCTCTTCCTTCAGACGGGCTTTGCTGCCTCCTTTCTCCTGGTCTTCGGCAGGGTATCTCCATGTGATACATTTGGGAATCTCCTTTACTGCAAGGAAGGATTTGGAGAGTGAGCTATTTTGACTTTTTTTTTTTTTTTTTTTTTTTTTTTTTTTTTGCTTTTTGATAAAACCTTTTCACCTGGGGTCATATTTTATGGCTTCAAATTTTAAAAACAAAAAACTTGAGGCCATTTGTAGGTGTTTAATAAGTATTAAATACATACAGAGAACAAACAGTGCCTGCCTCCCTGCTGCATTTTTGAGTTGTCATGTTAAGATGATAAGAGTTTTATGGTTGCCAAGTAAACTAATTTTTTATAAGAATAGTGAGAGAAAGTATATTAGCCATGTGAGTCAAACAGTACAAGATCTACTTACAGACTGTCCTCAGTCCACATGGTGGTGTAGTAGAAACCTAAAAGAGCCCAGCACCTCTGTCAGATGCTCTTTATTTTATCACAAATCGCTCTTGCCCTGCACTACTGGAGTTAACGTTTCAAGACTTACATTGAGTGAATCTTGTAAACCAAAACTGTCTTCTGAAAAGCCAACCACAGGGAGCTCCTAGTTGAAAAACAGAAGGAATAAGAAATACACCCTTACTCTGAGGTGGGAATGGATAGTTCACTTGTGCTCCATATGTTAACACTGTGTGAACTTCAGGGGGTGTCCCACAGACAGCTTCATTATGGTAATGACTTGCTGTTATTGAATGCAAGGCCTTGCTAGAAAGCTTGTGCCCAAAAGCAGATTGCCCCCATGGGTGTCAGGCAAGTCCAACGGAGAGCAGCAGGCACTTGCACTGGCAAAACTGAGGATCACTACTTCATCTTGATGTCCTCCCAGTTTTTCCTACTAAATGTTCTGATTAAGTTTGTGTAGTGAAAAGATTTCTTTGTGCCACTTTCCATTAGAAATGTCCTTCAGTTCAGTGATCAACAACCAAAATGATCTGCTTTTATTGTCAAGCAGGAGTCGATAGAGGCTGCTGATTGTGTTGCTACAAGCCTTTGTGTTGGCTGCAAGTGTCCAGGTGAGGCTCTGTGTTGACAGCTGTATCTGTAATTTATAGATCTTTGTCAAATGAACCTGTTACAATAAGAATTGAACTCAAAACATGGTGTCTGATCAAATGGCATTCAGGTTTCACAGGTCTCAATAAACCGTCTTGTATCTTTAGTGATTTGGTTTGGGGTAGGGGACTTTACTGCTTTTAAGAACTTTTGTTTATATAAATTATTTCAAATGTGGGATAAAAGAATGTCATTCAAAAATAAATACAATTTTGAACAAAAATATTAAATGTAACTTGAACTATGTGTAACACTTTATTCATGTTTGTTTGTTTGTTTGTTTTCTGGAATTGGGTACCAAACTCATGACCTTGTGCCTGCCAGGTAGGCGCTTGTGCCACTGAGCTAAATCCTTGGCCAAATGTTGACATTGATCTGTATTATAAAGGAAACTTGAGTTTTAGTCTCAGTTTAAAATTAACTGTGTAACTTTAGACAAATTCACCTGCGTGGACCTCTCCGTGACTTGGCTGTCAGCAACCCTCTTGTCGTCTTCACCCTGTGCTGTCTTTCTGAGCATACCCCACTTGTTCATTCTTGGACCATGACTGTCAAACATTCTGCGTACATTTGGCAGGTGGAACCTAGTAAAAGACAACCACAAATCTGAGTTTCCCTGCAGAAGATAAGTTGTCCTCTTTAGCCAGTACCACCCCCTTCCAGGGTGGCATTCATAGCTATTGCTGTTTATCTTTCACCAGTCTTCTAATGTAGCTATATGTTCAACTTGTCCTCAGTTGGGCATTATTAGACCTGACTTGTAAGTTCGCACTCACTTTAGCAGAGACAAGAATCTCTGAACTGTAAAGTTGGATGTATGTATCCACCTCACAGTGAGGCTGTCCTGAAAAGAGTGATGCATCATTGCTGTTCTCCTCCAATTGATGCTTGTTCCTCATTCCAACAGATGAGTACTCAGAAATCCCCGCTTTGAAAGAGAAGGAGAATGGGAAACAGCCACTCCTGAATTCCCACTTCTTTCCCTCCAAAGAGTTGCTGTCTGCTTAAGGAAAAGAATACCATTTGGGAGATGAGTGGTAAAAAGATGGTCACACAGCTTCAGACAACCAAGTGCAAAAGAGTCAGTACATATATGGTCCAACAAGTCGGAAAGCTTTGCAGGACTCAAAGAGTTACTTCATCTTTAGAACAAATGTGTCATACTCTAGATTATCCTAGGAGCCTTCCAGCTGTGAATATTCAATTATTTTATGATTAACAGTTGTTCTGGAATTTCCAGGAGCAGTCTTGATACTAATAACAATTTTTTTCAGCCCTGCAATTGAGAAAAAGAAATACAGAATTTGGAAAACCAGTATCAAAGCATCTAGCATCCCAAATGCTTTTAGTTTCCTTCTGCTATCCTCTGCAGCATCCAGTACTGAGTAGTGGCCTCATAAGTATAAACAAAACCAGAAACAAGATTTCTATTTCTAGAATAGTATCAAGTATGTATTTATATGTTTCATGAGTAAACTTTAGTGAATGCTTTAGCAGGCATAACTGTCCTTTCAACAAATTATATCCGTGTGCTGCACTATTTCTTGCCTATTGTATGCATCCCTAATACATTATAGTATTAGGGATGCATACAATAGGCAAGAAATTGTCAAATTTTTCTTTCATAGTGAACATGCTAGTGGGTGAATGAAGAAAGCATAATAGCAGATTTTGGTTAAGCATTATGGAGGAAATGGGGTAGTGTGATACTGTGGTGGAACACCTTGGTAGAAGTGTCCTGTTGAATAGAAATCTCAAGTAGAAATACTGAAAGGAAAAGGAAAGATGGTTGAGAATGGTTTGAAAATTTCAAATATTGCCTTTCCTATCACTGGGACAATTTGAAGAGATGTTTAATTTAGACTTCAGGAGATTCAGTCCATGATCAGCCTTTCCATAGCAGGAATATGGAAGAAGAGTGGCAGGGTAAAGATGCTAAGTTCGTGTTGGCTAAAACGCAGAACAGTAACAGCACCAGAGAGGAAGCAGTAAGGGTCCAAATAGGCTGCTGCTGGTCATGCCTTTGTAACCCACTCAGGTGCAGCAAGTATGCTTTATTAATCCCCTCAGCAACTCCCAAGGCAGCTGGACGGACTCAGTAAAGCCTTAGCCATTACATTCCATTGCTTTGTCAACTTGACACCCAAACACATCTCCTTAAATGACAATTTCCAAAGAAAAGACAATAGCAAGTTAGTGATTCTGCTTAATATGTGACAACAAATCCTGGGTGTAGTCAAGAACAAGAATGCAATACATCCATTCTCCAAAGTCTGAATAGCTCCAGCATTTTTTAAACTTTATTTTTAAAGTCCAAGTCAGATCTCTCCTGAGACTCAGCAAACACCTATGAGCTACAAAAGTAAAAAATGAGTTAGATAATCTGAAGAAAGCAATGGTCCGGAATAAACATAATCCCAGCAGGGAAGAGTAGGAGAATTGAAAGAACCCAACCAAGGGAATACCAAAACCCAGCAGGACAAATATTAACTCTTGTAACTTCAAGTCCTATATCCAGGATACTTAGTAGTTACATATGTGTTCCAAAGGACTTGGACAGTCTAGCAATTTTGCTGATTGCAGTCTGCATGACATCTCCAACTTCTCAGCATCTCCACTATACCTTTGGCTTTGTCTCTGCAGCTTCACACATTGCCCTTTTGGGTGCTCCTTGCTTGGCTTTTCAGAACTTTGAAATCGGTGGAAGCCTACCCGACCTCGCAGCTCTTGCATTTTGCATTCTGGTAAAGCCCCCATCTTATGAACTGTGCCAAGATTTTCTGCCAATGCAAGTAGTACTACAAATCTGACAGCTTTATCCATGCCCTTAATCTGTCTCCTACAAAGTCTTAGGACATGGGAAAAATGTAAAAACAAGCAAACAAACAAACACCACTCTTTGCCTGAGTGTAAGACCTGTGAACTCTAGTCCAGCAACAAATGGAGTCTCTTCCCAACCAGAATCTCCCGAGTGTGGCCTTTACTGTCTATATGTATGTCTGCATTCTGCTCTTGTGGTTCTAACCAGAATTAGTCCACATGCTCTGCTTACAGTATTCTAAGGCTTCTTTAGTCCATATCTCATAACTTCCCTTAAACCGGTTCCAAAGCCTCCTGAAAATACATTGTCATAGCCACAACCCCACTCCTGGTATCAGTTTTCTGTATTAGATTTCCTGTGGCTGGAACATAACACCTGACATTCACAACCTAAAAAAGGGAGATGTAACAGCCTATGGTCAGCTGGTTCCAGGGCAGAAACATGGAGGAAAGGTGTGGTAAAGCGCGATTAGATTACAGCAGCTGAGAAGAAGAAAGGGAACAGCATCAGGAAGGGGAGACAGATACGGTACCCGAGATTATGCCGCCATGACCCACCCAAAAACACGAAGTGTGCTTTACTAATCCCCTTAGTAAGTCCCAAGCGAATCAATCTGACAAACAGTTTATTACCAAAAGCTCCTCACATTGGACTTTGGCAAGGGACAGATTTTTACACTGTTGAAATGCTGTTCAAGTGTTGTGGCTGTTACTGTGTATTAGACTCTGATAAATGTGATTTCAGTGCTCTGTGAGTAATAAGGTAAGAAACATGGTGCCTACCTTCATGACCTTAAGAAAGGGGGATGGGATGCTATGTGCCCCTAAGGGACTGTCTAAGAACTAGCAGATTCATGGGTTACTATTTCACCACACAGGGAAGAATTATACAAGTTAGCAAGATCCTACTTAAAAGGATAAAAAGAGCTGGGGAAGTAGCTCATTGTGAGGCCCTAGGCTCATTCCCTAATACTGAAAAGGAAAAGCAGAAACATTAGTGTTCGGGACTGAATCAGTGGTTCCGATGTGACAATAATGAAAGTAGACATATTCTCATTCTGGCAGACTGAAGCAGGATGTCTGAGCCTGTCTGCTGACAGAAATGTGTGTAAGGTGCTATTCAGATGCCATCTCTGCTTGTGGCTATTCATGCGTTCTACAATCATTGTTTTGAGTACTTTGAAGCTGATGTGATTGCCACCAACAACGTCTAAGAAAACAAAAGACTAGTAAGATGGTGGTTACCATATCACTATAAAATTTGATAGCTTTCTAATTCACCAGCAATAACCAGTGAACACAAAAGATGTCATTCAAATAGTGAAAAATCTTGCAACAGCAAGAACAACTCCATTGCTCAAGTGCTTACAATGTGTCCTACACAGTTTACTGTAGTCTTGTGCATTGTAGTCTTTATCACAATTTTGTAAGCTAGATACTGCTCTTATTCCTAGATGAGGCTTAGAAAGTCTGGTGGGGAGGTCATAAAGTTAAAAAACTTGAGAGCTCATGTTTATCACTTTGGTATACAGCTATTCACTGTCTCTGATGAGAGTGGGCAAGCCTGTCAAGAGACATGCTAGGGTGCTTTGCATGCCATTCTCTCCGTATTCATGCAAACTCAAAACCTATAGAAGCTTACTTAGGGCGTTTGCCAATGGAATTTGTTAAGATAGGCCACACTGGATTTGGGTGGATCCTAAACCAAATGACCTGTCTTATAAAGAGTTTCAGAGATTTAGGTGGATGGGGACCATTATATGCTTTATAAGCATATACTTTATAAGTTGAAAGCACAGGTTGAGTTGATGTGGTTGCAAGCCACAAATTGCTGGGTGCACAAGATGCTGGAGGAGTAAAGGACAGCTTCCTTAGAGCATTCAGAGCACATGGCTCAGCTGACTTGTAGCTTCCTCATCAGTGCGACTGAATGTCTGCTGTGAGACCTCCAGCATAAGAAAACTTAACATGGTAACACTAGGAAACTAACACACAATGCCTACATAGAGAAAATACTTCTAACTGCAAGCCATCAGGAAAGACCTGAAAGAGATGGATCTGTTTCTGAATGGGAGTGACAGTGCTGCAAAAATTCTTAACTCCACTCTTGTTTGTCCAATATATTCTAAATGTAAATTCTGTTCTTTCAGTTTAGACTTGGACCCATTATTTCCCACCCCAAAACAACAGAAGGTGCATTGCTTATTCTTTACATTTGGACATGTATTGAAGTTTTACATTCTCTTAGAAATTTTTCTGACACCACCCTACATAAGAAATAATGCCTTCTGTGTTCTTGTATGGCCTTACTTTAATCCTTGCCTGGCTCTCATTACTATCTACTGTTTTTCATTTGTTTATTGTCTTCCAACTGCCTCTGGAATGACAGCTGGAGACTGTGGGGGCTTTGACTCATTCTCTGCTATGGTCCAATGCTA